ATAACAAATGTGACTTGAGTCGCTGAAGTTGAATTTTGATGACTCCTCTAAATCCCAGCAAGATTAAGTCATCTCCTAAATAAAAGGTCAATGGCAAACATAGCTTCAACAAAACAAAGCTGACAAATTTGCATCTGCACCCTTCTCTTGATTATATTATTTATATTTCTAAATAGTGAAGCTTGCACGGCCAACAGCCTCCAAATTCGGCGGCGCATTTAGTTGGCCGCTCGGCCTTCAGTCATAGGTCCTGACAAATATCGGTCCCGGTAATTGACGGACGGCTGACCGGCCGGCGGGTCACATTCTCTGCCCGGCGGCGGCGGCGCGGAGCTGTCAGCCAGTCCGTCGCCGCCCCTCCGGGCACGGCCGATCGTCGGCCGACGTCGAGCGACTCGCATTCCTCACGGCTGTGCGGCGGCGGGGCCGTCACGTCCGGCCCAGCGCCGGTGACAATGGGACGGGCCCCAGCCGCCCCCGCGGCGTCACCTCTCCTGGCCGACTGTCATCGGGGCGGCCCGGTTAGACAATTCCTGTGGCGGTCAGCCGGCGGGCCTCCCAGACCACGTCATTACTCAGACCCAGTCTGCAGTGGAATACATCAGTTCTAACTGTCTTGTATAGCGCCAGCTCCGACCTACGATAGGACTACGGAAGCAGAGCCAAGAGCTACGCCTTGGTGATGATAAGATGTGGCCATTTGAATTCGATTTTCCCTGGGCTGTCACTAAAACAGGTGTTCTGCTTGACTTGCCGTCACTTGCTAGTACATGTTTGGAATTCTTAAAAATTATTGAAGTTTTAGCATTGTTAAATGTCCTTAAAAGTTATGACAGAAGACATATGCCTCCATCCGCATTGATAAGACAATATTTTCTTGGCGACGCCCTCCTTTTGTTCTCTCGATAACCACCGCTCCTCCCCGTTGGCTGGTAGGTAGGAATCACGTCTACGGCACGTGGCGAGGCCGCAGGCCATGACGAACGTGAACCGAGCAGCTGGGACCGCTAAATACAGAAGCCGACCTGAGATATGCGTACACTGAGTGACAAATTTGCACCCATAGACATTCCTGAACCCAAAACTTGGCACATTTGAATATCACAAACATGACGCACTGAGGGGAAATGGAGAAATATTTCTTCTATTCAAAGAATTAATGTCTTCACGCGCTAATAAAAGGTAATTCATTGCATCATTTATCGTTGCTCCCAATTTCAAAACGGTATGCCTAGAAACGTGTTAATTTTAGTCTCGTGTCGGCATTGACTATTCCGACATTTGTTGCAATTTGGGGTTGCCACCAAGAATCACTGAACCAATTTTAAGAGCTGATTGAAGACAAATATATGGCCATGCAGCATGCGCTGATTTTTTTGATGCGTCGACATTTATTCTATATCTTAAATAGTGGCTATTCCATCGATATTTTATGACATTTACAAACATTTATTTTAAATGACTATACCTTATGGACGCATTGTGACAGCTTGCAAACTGCTCAATAAAAAAACGCATCAATGTATGCGCGAGTATGACCCTTCCATCTATGTAAAATGCAAGTTGCTCAGTGCTCTTCACTTCAAACAAAACAGCTACTTCCTTTCGTTATTTTGATTATTTTCTTGCAGGTTGCTTGCATATTTCACTAGTTCAGTTTATACGGAGTGGCCACGTCAGCGATGATTCCACAGCCCCGAGACGCCGCCATGTGTCCGCTGACAGGCTACTGCTATTTTATGTCGCCCCAGTAGCCGGCCGTATAAATCACCCAGATTGTGTCCTCTGAGGTGAAACAGGGGCTGTCGGGTGACGCTGGGTGAATAACGCCTGCTAATTGGGAAACACTGACCGATCATGCGAGCTTTTAAATCACAACAACGGCACGACGGTTGCATGACGCATCCGTTGCATGGGTTTCTTTCTGAAAGGTTTCAGGGCTTAGTATTGTAAGTCACTTTTTGAAATTGCTGGTTCGGTATTTTCACTGAACTGAAGTACCGCTTGTCATGGAGTTGCAGCACGTTTAGACGAAGCGCCAAAGTAGTCGGTTACCAGCTCATCCAAGACTGGCCGACACGTGAAGGGCTGTTGAGCGGCGACGAAAATCCCCGGGGCCGGGGCCGGCCGTGTTTCACGCTCAAACACCTCGCCTGTTAACTGAAGCCGTGTAGGCATCTCGGTAAGCAAACGAGCCCCTCTGCTCGATCCGGCGCCGGCCGGTCGGCAAGCCGCCGGGTCACGTGATAGTGGCTGAACATGACGTCATCGGTGGTCCTTCTGGACCAGGGGAGGCCAGGAGGGAGATGTGAAGATCGGCACCATTTGAAGCGGACCGGGTGGAACCCGAACAGGTCAGAGTCAATCAGAGCCGGTGCTCTCAGCGGCCCGAGAGTTAGACATGATCAGTAGCGTCACTGGGGGCCGAGCCAACATTCCCGGGCAGTGAACTCGGCGGCCCCGTGGACGGCAGCTGCAGAAATTATGATTCATGGCCACAGACTGTCGAGAAACGGCATTCAGACACGAGTGCTACTCAACGAACGTACAAACTTTTTTCATTTAAGCACAATTTATTTACGAACTTTTGGCAAAAACTCGAGACGTTCCGCGGTGACACTTGCGGACTCGCCTCGCTTCGGGGAAGGGAAAATCGGCTGCATTTCCCTTGTATAGTTTTCGTCAAAAGTTGGTTACATCTTCAGTTCAAAAGCAGACCCAAGTAGCAGATGCTTTTGCATACTGCAAGGACCAGCAGCCTTAAATAGGTATATGAAGAAACGACCCCTGCACGTACGCACGAGCAAGATAATCATCGCACCAGCTTAAAAACCATCAGCCCAGTCGTTCTTGCACGAAGACTTGAAGAGGTGGCTCCAGCACGTGCGGAAGCCCATACGGTAGTCAGAAGCAGCCCGCTGTAGAAAACAGAAATGCATTGCCCGCGATGGGCAGGCTGCCTCACAGGATAGGCCAAAATTTCAGCGCAACTGGCCCAGCTATTTCGGAGTTATTACAAAGCGGAGCAGTTTTGACACGCTGCTCTGCTTCAAAACGTGACACCCTACATAGATGAGTGCTTGTCAATCGTCCTTACAGTTGCTTGTTTGATACTCAATCTCGCTTATAATATTTGGACCTCTCAAAAGCCTGACCACGGAAGGCCGGCCGGCTTCAAATTGGCACTCGTTTTTCTCATTGATGCACGAAGACTCGCTTTGCGTGCTCGAGCGCACAAAATAACAACATAATTTTACACCATTTACAATAAAAAGATTGCACGCTTCCAAAAAAGTAAGGACATGCTTGTGACATTGCTAATTGCTTTAACCCTCGCCCTGGCAGGGGGGGGGGGTCGATGCGACCCCCCCTAAGGTTTTTCGAAGATAGCGTAAAAACGGCGGCGCGCAGCGCCGCCAAATTTGGCACAGCCTATGGGGCAACCTTTTTACATATGACCTGAAAATTTCAGGTCCGGGTGACCTTGGGTCAGGTCACCAGGTCAGAAAAACCGGTACAAGGTCATGGTCAAATTTCAATTTTCTTTTTGCACCTGTCCAACTCACAGTTTTGCACTGATTTCCTTCAAACTTTCAGGATGTGCTAAGTTCACCGAGTTGTATAACATATAGTTCGGGTTTTTTGAGGTCACTGACCTGAGGTCAGTTAGAGGTCATGATGTCGTAATGTTAAGCCTATGGGAAAATACTAAATTCGGAAAATACTGGAGATATCCGCTTCGTTTTATCTTTTTTGTGCTTTGAAACCACAGTACTTAACAGCAGGTCACTTGGTGCTTCTTTGTTTGGTGTACTTATCCATGGGTCAGGTCAAATGAGGTCAACTGAGGTCAAATGACGTTTTTGCCAATAACTTGGCATATAATGACGCTAGAGCTTCAAAAATGGTATCATTGTGTTCCTGGTGATCAGCCGAATCGAATGATATGCGATATGATGCCATTTGGTCAACTTTAACTTAAGTTATTAATTTAAGTTTACTTAAAATTTAAGAAAAACTTTAAGTACACTTAAGCAAGCTAAAAAGTATGTCATTCGACGCGCCTTGACGTGCTGAGTTCACTGGTGCTTTTCTTTTTGCTCTATCTTAATTAGATCAAAAGTTATAAGCGAAAAACTTTTGACCTGTTTTTAGCGAAATTTTTACATTTATACCCCCCAAAACCCCCCTAAATATTGACCTAGAGCAACCAAATTTGCACAGGGGCGAGAACTCCAGGGGGCCCACCTACCTACCAAATTTGGTGTTTCTAGGTGCCATAGGAGCCAATCGCGAGGGGGGGGTCGCATCGACCCCCCCCCCCTGCCAGGCCGTGTTATGAAAAATGCCCTGCCAGGGCGAGGGTTAATGGTAAAAATTACGTGCTCTGAGGCTTCGAAACTATAACTCATGCGGATGTTTTACACTTTATATTGAAATGCCTACCCTATCCGTCTGCATTTCGCAAACGCACCCGGACATCTCGACAATAAATACACCCAAACCAATTGTTTTAATTTTGCTATACAATAGCTATAAGCATGTGCAAGTTTGCCTATGGGCTAGACATCCATAAATGTTCAATAACACTTCGTCATCTTTCATCAACTACTAAATTTTATTCATTAGTTTATAAATTAGGCAACAGTTAGTCCAATCGTTTTCCGCACCTAATACGCATTGACGTTTCAAAGGACAAACGTCAATAAAATCCCACTGAAGACTGGTTCTCGCTACCCAAATAAGAAGCAAACTTTGTGTGCAATTGAGGTCATATCCTAGGTTTGTTTTGGTCGCGTTGTTTGTCTTGAACCGTACTAATTATACCACTGGGACGAATGCATCCCAAGTTTGTTTCTATAACCAGCACATCCATCAAGGAAAATAGACTGTAACAGAGTCGTTTTACAACGACAGCTGAAACAACTCACTGCTTCAGTGGAGTGCCACTTCAAACAAAGCGGGCGCCGGTCGGGTAAGCCGGGCGCCGCTTCACTGACCTCCGCTCGCTGGAGATCCTTCCACCGCGCGTGGCCGCAGCTCCTCCGACCGGCGGCGTCCGCCCGCTGCTCCCTCCTTCAGCCGCGGCGTGACTGCTCCCTCCTCCGTGCAACACCACGCGATCTACCGGTCCTCCGTGCGGCACTCACTCCAACAGCTCACCGTTCTCACACTCTCACACTCCGTCCGGGGCCGACGCTCACACTGGAGGCGCGCCTCGTCTCACACGGACACAGGACGGACGGTCAGCCCGGCACCCCGGCTGCAGAGGCGACTGAGCCGGCGCCGGTGGCGGCGGCGCTGTGCCGCCCGGGGGCGCTCGGCTCGCGGCCGCCCCGGGCTGCTCCGACCGACGGCGCCCTCCTGCCGGCCGCCGAGGGCCGACCTGTCGACGGGGCGCTGCAGCAGAGCCCGCGGCGGCCGCCGGCCACCGGGTGACGACGGGCCAGCTCTCGGAGAGGCCCGTCGACAAACGAGACGCCGGCGAGCGCGACGGTTCCCGGAACGACTCTCCGACCGCGCCGGGGCAGCGCCGCCGACGGCGTCTGAGCAGTGATGATATCACCTGCCGCTGAACACATCAGAGGAACGGCTAAACCTCGCCTAAAACCGAGACGGCGCAGCGACGGGTGCCCTTCTCAGACACGCTCTCGGCGGGGCTCGTCTCTGGAAGAAACCCGAGCCGCGGAAGGTGCGGTTGGGAAGGGAGCACCAGCCACCCACGAGCCGGTCGGACCGAAATAGCCGGCCGGCTCTGCAGTTGGTGCCGCCTCCGCCGCCCCGCTGGGGGAGGCCTACCGTCGTGGTGGCGCGTGCCAGCCACCGGCACCAGCCCCCGACCCCGCTCTGGTCGGTGTGTATGTTTGCGTGTGTGTTTGTGTATGTGTGTCTGTGTGTGTGCGTACTCATCCGATAAGTTACTTGATCGCGTACGTAGGCAATGCGCATCCTCCCTATAAAACAAGACAGGCTAAGTTGTTCCTGGATGTTTGACTATCATAAAAAATAGAGAGTGTGCAGTAATTTCGTCTGCATCTGGGTGTCCACGACATCAGAGAACATACGGTTTTCTACCGGACGGAGGCATCTCGAAGGCTAAACCGACGAGCGATGCAAACTTTTCAAACAGTCGCGCTCCACTCTGAAACTGAAGATTGGCGGAAATTGCTAAAGAAACAGCTCAGCCCGGCTCGCTCCCCCGGTTACCTTGGCTTTGAAGTCATTGAACACACCAAACGATCTTGCAGTTCCCCGATTGCGAAACGTTTTCTTGCCAAACGTAAACGGACGGCGCCGGTGCTTATGGACGTTGGCGGCGGCGCTCGGTCGACTCGTGTTTGGTGAGGCGTGAACCGCAGCTCTGTTGTCTGTTTACGTGAGCCGGTGTTCGTGTTTGAGCCGGTGTCACCTGGCGGGACGTCAACAATTTATCGCGTGACGCTCCCCACGCGGCCCGGGCGGCGGCGGTATGGCCGTGAGCCGTTTTTGTGGGGTGACGGAGTTCGACGGGACTGGGGCTCGTCCCGGGGTGTACTGGTGGAGCTGTGCCAGCCGCCGGGGCTGGATCGGACCGGGGAAGGCTGCAGAAGTGACGGGTCGACCGGGAAGTGTGAGGAATCGGGACAGCCCATGAAAAAACAGCGACGGAGCTGCAGTCTTATGCACGATCTCTTCGAGACGCGGGCTCCTGCAAAAAGAAATAAAGACATCACACAAACGCTGCGCGCGATATACCTACCACCCTTCTCGGTTCCTCCAAACGCAAAATGCCACTCGGAACGAGATCGTGAGCTATAGCAACACCGGACCGACAGCACTCAGTCACCGGACTCTCCATAACTCAACCCGTCATCGCAGTCCGAGCTAAAGATGGATCACCGTCTCACCAGCTCCCGCTGAACGAGCGGTGAAAACGACCCAGTAAATCACGTCAGCGTATTTACCAAACAATGCAGCGGTCACTGCCGATGAACATCAGTCAGTTCGTCAGTGTAACGGCGCGGTCCAGCGGCAGCGAGGGTGAGCAGGGACAGGCTAAATGACTCGCCGGTGACGGCTTTGTTTAGAGCTGCTGGCTCCAGGGACGGTCGAGGATACCGTTTCAGAATGGAACGCAACGCTCACTTCGGTTTGTTGATCAGTAACCGCCAGGCGCCATTCCGAGGCAAAGGCACTTCGGATTGCAGCGGTGTTTCACTTTTATTTTGTCTTCCAAAACATAGACAATTAATTTGTCTAAAAAAAGAGACCGACGACCAAAGAAGTTATTTTTAAGTTGAGATTTGCAGTTGTCGCGCAGGCTCCAGAGTCCAGACCGAATCCACAATTAACAACAGCTCCATACAAACAAATTAGCGCATAAAAATCGTCACCTTACATTTGCCAATTAAACAAACGTGACATTTCGCTCAACACACCAAAGCCGGTGCACGCAGTACGGTGCACGCGGTTGTATGTGCGCCGGCGTGCACACTGCACAGTGTTCAGTGCACATGTCGACTGTTGTATTCGCCTGCAGCGGGTGACTGATGCGGTCCCATCTGAGGTGCGGCCCGACCCAGCCCGACCCTCCAGGCCCGGTCAGACCGTCATCTGACCCTCCTCCCCACCGTTTGACGCCACCCGCGCTGTCCCGCTGCAGGCCGGCGGTACCGGAGGCGACCTCTCCGACCAGCGTCGTGCTTGTTTATGCCTCCCTCCCAGCCGACAAATATACAGGGTGCCCAGTGGCGGCGGTGCTGTCCCCGCGAGGTGACCTGGCCGCCGGCCAGCACCCCGGCGTCCGGGCGCAGCCGCGCCCGGGCCGCCCAGCCAGCGCCGAGACATGACATCATCGGCTCGGCTCCCAGAAACACTGGCTGGTAACGGGGTGCGGTAGTTTCCCGATTTTCAGTACTTTCATAAGTTTGATAAATAATTGTCGGAGCAATTTACGGCTCAAAATGGTATGACTTGTTTGTCGTTTGCATTTCTTGTTTGTTCAAATATCAATATCCATTCCAAGAATCTGTTTCAGTTGAGGAAAAAAAAATTATCAAGGGGAAATGCTGCGCCTAGAATAGCCCGTTCCGGGCGTTCACGTCAATTGATGGATTGGCCCCTACTGCCTACTGTCTATAAGTTTGTTCAGCGAGCCCATAAGGACCAATGGATTACCACGGATCGGCGACAACTGACGGAAAGTTTACACAGCTGATGACAGGTCGGCGCGACGTAACATGACGGGACGACTGATCGGCGTGGTCAGCCGGGGACCGAGTTAATGGTGCCGTGTTTATTCCGACCGACCGGCCAGGATGACGACAATCTAGAGTCATGGACCTAGAGTCATGGACCCAGAGATAGAGTCATGATCTAGTCCCCAGTGACGCCTAGAGTCCAGACGAGGTCCGCCGTGTCGTGAACATATCGCATCGCTCCGCTACAACTTAACAGTTAAGCGGATCGCTTCTACATGTGATAATTTTCAATATAATCATGGGATTTCAACTTTATTTTTATGGTTATTCATCGCTCATGAGCTAGCGCCTAGCAGACATGGTGAATGATCAAGCAAGATTTCACGCCATGCAAAACAAACATAAACATCTAGCGAACTCGGCTAATGTATTGTCGCCTGTCCAAGCCGTTCACTCAGTGCTCCGAGTGCAGGGTGTTCGATCTATGCTGTGGACCGTCTCCAGTCACACCACCAATCAATCGTCTAGCCATAAACAAACCGGCAGCGGAGGCGACGGCTCAACGCACCCGGCTGGGCCGACTGCCGGTGCTAATGCAACCTCTGCTGCTACGACTGATGCTGCGGCTCCTGCTGCTGCACTACGGATGTTACTGCTGCCTGCTGTTGTTGCTACATCTGCTACGTCTGCTACATCTGCTACCGCTGCTACTTATGCTTTTGCCACGACGCCCCACCACGCTGCACACGTTCGCCTGCAGCGAAGCTATACAAGGCGCCTTCAAGGGACAGGCAACCGCCGCCGGAACCGGTCGGTCCCTGAGGCCGGAGTCGGCGCCGGAACCGCGCCAGTCCCTGAGGCCGGAGCTCTCTGCCGCCTGACTCACAGGGCCCGACCGAGCCGGACTGTCGTCATCGGCCGCCGCGAGCGGGGAATAGACTGGTGACGTCACGGCCCCCGTCCCGAAGGATCAGCCGCGCCCGCCGTGATACCCCGGGCAGGTGTGAATTCAGCGAGCCCAGACCCCAGGGAGACTCTGTTGCCGGGGGTAGCTCGACCAGATAGCTGCGGATTCAGAGGAAAAGAGCCTTGCAGTGGCTGCTCAGACACGGGAGGCTATCTCGGGCCACATTTGGCGTGACCTTAGATAGGAAAACTGCAGTCGGGATAAATCAACACGTGTAAACATTTCAAACCAACAAGGAAGGTGGGGCTGAATAAAAACGCCGAGACAGATAAAGAATAGCTTTGTCTAAGGACTGAAAGGACCTCGCGGCTGCGTCTCTTTCACCTGTTTTTGGCTGGCTTTGTTTTAGAACTGTTTGACCGTGACACTCTCACACAGCTGATAAAGGTAGCACAGAGGACCGGGGGAAATGGTGAAATCAATTAAAGACGCAAGGCATCAATATTCTCCAGATAACCTGTTCTCAAAATTACTGCCGTTTTCCATATCTCTTATGTAGCTCTGATGCTTTACCTTATCCATTTATGTTACTTAACCGTTAACCTCTAATTCTTATAACAGGCTATTTGACGTTGAACGTTACATTCGTCTATCTATCCATCCTATACAATAGAACCGATAATTATCTGCGCACTTTGAACCTTCATCTGTAACATTTTGGCATCTTCCTCTACGTCTATGTTTATCGCACACCTATTACGAGCGGACCCGCCGCTTTGCATGCACACTACGGGGCCACAATTACAAAGAGGCCAGCTCACTACAACTTCTCACCATCACTCCAGCATGCTCCGGAGTGCAGTGACCGGTCGGGTGTGGGCGGACCAGGGCGGCCGGAGCCTGCCGCTCACCACCCGCGGCATACCCGTCTCCTTCATGGACGCCGGCGGTGACTGATACTGCGCAGGCGGCGGCGTGCCAGCAGCGCCGGCAATATCCGCTGACGGCAGCGTCACGTTCTTGCTCGGCGGTGTGTAGATGTAATGATCGACCGGGGTGGGGAGGGCGGAGGGCGCCACGCCGCGGGTCCGGGCGCGGGCGTGCTTCAGACGGCCGTGCAGCCAGGAGCGTACACCACGCAGCATCATCTCCATCAACTGGGCGATGCTGATGACGGAGACGCCGAGCAGCAGGCTCATGTTGCCGCCCACGTCCGAGATGAGGCCGCTGAGGCCGTAGGTCTTTTCCTCGGTGGAGAGTTCCTGCTGGTACGGCCACACCGCCATCAGCTTGGCAATGCCCGAGCGAGCCATGCCAGCGGCGTTCATTGTGGTCGTCACCTGAGGGAGAACGGTCGGGGGGCGGGTGGAGGTCGAATACTGACCAGTATAACGCCTTATGGGGCGACTAACGGAGCGAGCGAGAGGGTGGGCCTTGCACGTGCGAAATTTCGAGGGGGTACCTCCAACTGACTTGTGCACGGCACCCTACTAACCGGTTTCTAGCGATGTGCCAAATTTGAGCACAATCGGCCCAGCCGTTCTCGAGATCTGGAAGCGGCACCCTGCACGTGCGCACGTGCAAAATGGGTCCCAACTGACTTGTGCACGGCACCATACTAACTGGTCCCTAACCGTGTACCAAATTTGAGCGCCATCGGTCCAGCCGTTCTCGAGATCTGGAAACGACCCCTGCACGTGCGCACGTGCAGCAGCACCCCAACCTTAACACATGCAGATGAATTATCTGATGGAGACCTAACTGTGTACCGAGTTTCAATTCAATCGGCCCAGCCGTTGTGCCGTTATTGAGGTTGCAATTTTGGGGGTTCTTAAAAAATGTCCAACTTTACCACGCGCCACGTGCGGTGGTTGGCAAGAACGCATGGTGGCCATCACACCACAGAACTTTTACGTCCAAGTGACATTCAGTAAAGAAGACCGCTTGTCAATCGGATGTCCCGTTCCTAAGATATTAGCTTTTGAAGAGCGTCCCCACGGCCGGCCGGCCGGCCGGCCGCTCATACTCAGGATTTTCCCTTAATTCAGTATGAGACTCCGCTCGCTTCGCTCGCTCCGTAATAACCAGTATAACGCCTTTTGGGGCGACTAACGGAGCGAGCGAGAGGGTGGGCCTTGCACGTGCGAAATTGCGAGGGGGTACCTCCAACTGACTTGTGCACGGCACCCTACTAACTGGTCTTTAGCGATGTGCCAAATTTGGGCACAATCGGCCCAGCCGTTCTCGAGATCTGGAAGCGGCACCCTGCACGTGCGCACGTGCAAAATGGGTCCCAACTGACTTGTGCACGGCACCCTACTAACCGGTCCCTAACCGTGTACCAAATTTGAGCGCAATCGGTCCAGCCGTTCCCGAGATCTGGAAACGACCCCTGCACGTGCGCACGTGCAGCAGCACCCCAACTCTGGCACATGTATAGGCAGTGCCTAGTGGGTGCACTGCCTACCAACATGCCAACTTTCAGCGCAATCGGCCAAGTAGTTACCGAGATATTGCAACAATTACAAAACGGACACCTCTTCGTTTTGCACGTGGCACGTGCATAAGGGGTCACCCACATGCATCAGGAATAGTCCAATACTTGGTAGAAGGAATGAAGCTACCCTACAAAAATTACCGCGTGTAAATCGGTCAAGTGGTTGCTGAGATATAAACCTCGCAAAAGCGTGACCACGGCCGGCCGGCCGGCCGGCCGCTCATACTCAGAAATTTCCGTTAAAGGGACCCTCCCACCTTCAAAAAAGTTAATGAATTGGCATGAAAGTGATGTCGCTCGGTTCAGAGAGAGCAAAAACGAATATCTACCAAATTTCATCGAAAAATATTCACCGGTTTTCAAGATATTAGACTTTTACTTTTGTTTACTTTTTGGGATCTCCGCTGTTCCTAGCGACTTTATTTGAAAGTGCGGCATTTGTTGCACGCAAAGCAGCATATACCACCGCGTGCTACAAAACGTTTTAGTCAAACATTTAACGGACGTTCGAAAGCCTGATGACGTCATCAGACTCCCGTAATGGTTAAGAGATAGGGACCACGCTGGTCCCACCCTGCAAGTAAAGGGAAGAAATTTCTTGAACACCATAAAGCTGCGGGGGTTGCGACCAGGATAAATGGTGGTTTCTGAGCCTGGCCGCAAACTTGGCTATCTCAACTCAAAACTAATGTTAAGGTGGGAGGGTCCCTTTAATCTAAGGAAAGACTACGCTCGCTTCGCTCGCTCCGTAATCAGTGACGAATCAGTGACGAAGTGACGATCAGTGATCAGTGACGAAACTTTGCACTATGATTTAGGTAGAGCTCAGAAATAGGAGTAGCCACAAACATTGCCGCAGTACAAAGAGCTTTATTATTTTCAAGAGAAAAACACAATTTTAATGAATAATGTTTGTCTATTCCAAACAACTTGCGGTTCCGGCTACAGAGAGCTAGACGAAGCTGTTTGCTGAGCATTTGTGACTTACATGGAACAGTATCAGATCTGGGAGCCCAAATGTCCCACCGGCTGATCTTTTTTTTATTTAGTTGAATCTCTCTCCAACGGGCTCATGTCCCAATTACAGGAGAGAACACCTGCTTCTCCTCGTCCTCGACCCCACCCCCGGGCTACGGCTGAAGAGGGAGTCTACCCCACATCTGGTAACGCAGCCGGGGACGACGCCCGCGGAACGGGTGGAACCGGTAATTGAACCCGGAACCCGGCACCGCCCGGCCGCTTTTTGACTCCGAGCTCACCTGTACGGAGTAGCGTTCGTGACTGCAGGACGGCGGGCAGTGCGGGCAGGAGACCGAGCCGCGGGGGATAGCCGGAGGACTCTGCATCTTGTAAAACTGCTTGCTGGTGTTACAGAGCGGCAGAGGATGGGCCAGGCCGACCATCCACGGGGCGCGACAGCCGATCAGTTGGGACTCGTGCGCCCACATGCACTTCTCGTAACATTTGTCCTGAGTGTATCTGAAACCGGCGCGAGCGATGCTCGAGATTATATAAGAGAGTTCTTTCAATTTACCATGTAGCAGTCATAAGATTTGAACAAATATCATGCTCCATCAGCTCCTAACATTTCATGAAATGGTACGTTATGCTAGACAACATATGGGTACTCGCCTCATCAGATCATATCATATCTGTATCACTTACAATTTTTCTTTCATGGGCATCGCGGTTTCCCTCCCGACAAAATACTCCACTCACCCTTTGCTCGTATCGCAGTAGCGCCTTGTGAGCGACTTGAAGACGGCCACCTTTCCGGTAACCTCTGCGGTGGTGATGTCTCCCGCCTGCACCTTCACCTTCGGGTGGTTGGGCGTGTTGAAGTAGCGAGCCTGCACGATCGGAGGCTCACTGCCGTGGAAGTACACGTCCACAAAGTACTTGTCCTTTTTGTTGAAGTAATCTCTGGTGTAGAGATAGAAGGTGATGTCTAGCTTTTCCTCGTTCTTCATCACCAACGTCTGGTTGGCCACGAAGGTGTAGCACATGCCGTTTCTGGCCATCAGCGGCGTCCACCGGCCGGCGGGCGCCTCGCCGCTGGCGTCTCCGGAGCAGGCGCCGCGGTTGCAGCTCGCGATCAGCTCCTGGCGCTGCGTGCCGGCCTCTCGCCAGAAGGTCTCCACGCTGGCGTTAGACGGAAACTTTTTCCAGTCGACATCCGTTCCGCGCCGGTTGAGCAGACCGAGTTCTTCCACCCTCCGGCGGCTGAACTCTCGCGATGAGCACACGGTGAAGGCGGGGAACATGACGTCCTGCTGGATGGTGACGGTCATCGCGGCCGGCTCGCTCCAGTAGAGCTTGAGCTGGTTGACGCACTGCACTACGCAGACAATGGCACACACGGTCAGCATGCAGGCGTAGAACACGGTGCGTAGGGCGCTGCTAGAGTCTTCCATGGTGCGGTACTCGGGTGGACGGAGCGGAGAAACCGGCTCAGAAACGGTATGCTAATGCTGTTTCATTTCGGTTTGGTGTGATTTCAACGATTAAATTATTAAGTGCACGAATAACTTATCCAAAGCTGTTGCTGCCAACGGTAGCGAACGAAGACAGTTGAACCCGAAACAGAAGACCGTAAGGCTGATAGCTGACTGGCTGGTTGTCTCTGATTGATATCTTCCGGCGAGGTGCTTGACGGAGTTTTTGGCGTCGTTTCGCCTCCGTCGTGTCCGTTACCTATCGCCCGACCGACGGCCGTCAGCACCGGCGCTCAGTGTCTCTCCAAATAGCGGCGGCTGCCAGCGGTCGCCTGCCGTCGGCGACTGCAGCTGTCGACGCCGTGCGACAGGCTGTCGGTCCGGCTCCAGGGTGACAGCTGGGTCGGCGCCGGTCACGGCCCCACTGAGCGGCGCGGCCTTTGGCTCAGCGAGAGGTGCCCGGGGCCGTGGGAGGCCACACGTGCCGAGGAGTGCGTGCGGCGAGTCGAGACGACAGCGTATTGTCCGAGCGCTGAATGGGAGGTGGCCTCCGCGAGTACATTCAGTTGGCGTAATTGGTGGGCGGTACGGCCTGCGTGAGCGAACGGCGCGTACTCAGGCACTCGTTGGCCGCCGCTGCACTCGGCCAGTGACATGTGATGACCGCTATTGTGGCACCGCGGACCACGTGCAGTAATTGTCCATTCATTGTAACAGATGGCCCGTTTCACACACGCCTAGTGTTGTGCTCTTTTGCATACGATAAAGAACTCGTAAAGGCTGAATGGAGTGTGTTGATGGCAACGTCAGGCGTACACTTCGTGACCACATCGCCCGCGAGAAACATGTCTCACGGCTGACTAGCGTGTCTTCAATATCAATATTTGATTATTTTTTTTCGAATTAGAGGTGACCATCATGCATGTTACAGTAATTTTTGTTTGTTTGTTTTGTTGGGTTAGGCCCTTTCGGTCCAATGAGACCATTTCAGAGCCGGGAGGATGATAGGATATAGGGGGAGACATTGGTCTGGGCAGGCACCCTAGAGGACAGGCCACCCAGCCCCAAGGCACTCACTGCACCCGGCTACGGGGTGCGCTTCCTCGGGAGCAGCGGTGCCGCTCCAAGGGAGCAGCCCGCATGAGTTAAAACTGCCTGTCCAGCCCGGAGGGGGGTTGCGGCGTGGAGGAGAAGGATTTCAGTATCCTGAGGATAGAAGCACGGAACGGTGTACAGTAATTAAGTTAGCTTCCAGGTTATATTGCCGTAGAAATATACCAGGGGCATGTCAAGTTCAGCGAATTGCTAATCAGGTGCTTTAGTATCCCTACCAATCAACAGATGCCGCTAGAGGCAACGCCTGGAACATGCTGTGCCGCTGAGCTCGGTAATTTCCATTCCAGTCCCTAGATGGCTCTGCAATCGGACGCCTGCAACATGCTGTACCGCAACGCTCTGTTACTTCGACCGCTAGATGTCGCCTCCAGCGTGGGCCATCTCCGTGGGCAGATGTTGGGCAGATGTATGTACATACTACATTGTGCGTACTTACGCTGATGCCGATGAAGCGAACTCTAAATGTGTGCCGCCTATGCTCATGCGCAAACTTTTATATCGTTTGACTGCTGACTGCCGAGTTGATCAATGATAAATTCAAGCGACGTAAGCCTTCGTGCCAATGAGTGAATGCTCATGGGTATGGCGTGTAATGTCTTGTTACAACTTACAAGGTAGTAATAAACAGGAATGTATTGCTCGTAATAATAAAAAAGTCTATTTACATGGATCCCGCTAATGTGAGCTTTTCTCATTTAGTGGCTGATATGCTTCGATGCTCCTACATTTTGATTTTATCTGTTTTCAACGTGGTCGCCATGGCAGAAACTCATAACATAATTGCCCCATAGCCCTTGCAGAAAATCCTAACTTTGATTGCGGCTTTGAACGGCGACGTGAAGGGGGGGGGTTGATGCTCCTGCCTCCTGTACGTTTTTTTTCTTCTCTCAATAGAAACAATGCAATAAGGCGCACTATGGACAGACCTATCTAACCACATTAAACCGTGGCCCTGGCTCTGCACATCTTGTCAGTCTGGAAAACCTTACCATCACAACAGCATATCGCAATAACTACTTGTTGTAGATTTAAAGACATGATGTGGAGATGAATTGTGAATTAAAATGAAATCGGACTTACTCCACAAGAGTTCGTTGGGTCGGAGCTTTCGAATTGTATTACAATTCTTCGTCAGCGAGAGTCGTATCGGATGTTAAGATCGAATCGAAGGTACAGTGCGGATCGAACAAAATATGGGTCGGACATATAGGGCCTTGGGTCGGACAGGAGGGTCTCTGAGGCAACTAGTTGGTCTTGAAATAAACATACAAACACTGGGAAAACACGTGAATAATAACAGGATGCACACTTACTAAAAAAAGCCTGTAAAATGGGTATAAAACACACTAGTAAAATATCTAATACAAAAATATAGGCAGGTAGGTAAAAATACAGTTAATGACATGTAAAAAATTGCATAGATTAGGTGCAAACAGTACCTAAAGCAGAGATAAAGCTTTACAAAAACACGAATAGTAAACTAGACTAAGATATAAAATATCAAAATGATAAATTCTATAAATGAACTTTTTAACGGCAGAAACGGCGAATAATGGGAAGCCACCTGTCTTGCAGCAGGGCACCAGAGTTGCGGTTCACATTCGCGTCATTGGGTGACACTAGGACGGCTTCCCGCCGTCCCACGGTACGAATGTAGGCCGATTCGAGAAGGAGTCTCATCTGGTGGTGGCAGGCACGGTTCAGGATTTTGGCGTCGTCGAAGGCCGGCGTGCAGTCCCGGTGCGTGCTGAACGCTGAAGCGTTGGCTCTGGAGCGGACCGAGCCAGCCCAGCTCTCTCGGTGCTCGCGGACTCTGGTTCCAAGTTCTCGGTCCGTTTCTCCGATGTAGACGACCGGGTCACCTTCTACCCGGCAGGAGCACTCGATGCAGTAGATGACATTGCTCTCCTGCTGCTTGGGTAGACGGTGCTTGGCTTGGCTACAGAGGAGGGTCCCGATGGTCTGCGACGGCTTCGACACGAGCTGAATGCCGATCTTGTTGGCTTCTCGCTTCAGTTGGTAGAAGCAGGGACCAGCGAACGGAACCGAGAGCCGGACGGGTGCAGGCAGCGGGCTGGGGTTCGGTGGCGACGGCAGAGCCCTGGCCTTCAGCTGGAGGTCCTTTTCTGTTCTTCTTAGGATCGGGTTGATGAACGAGAGAGGGTAGCCGTGTCGGTGGAATTTCTTGCGTATAAAATCAAGTTCTTGCAGGCGGTCTTTGACGGAGGAGCAGTAGCGGATGGCACGTAAGCAGTCAGATCTGATGGCTGATCTCAGATAGCGCGTCTCTGTATAGGAGTTGAAGGCCGGTACTTGGTTAGTGGTGCATGCCTTCCAGAACATCAAAGTCACTACTGAGATCGAAGAAAATCGACGACTGCCCTACCTAGACATCATGATCACAAGACAGGACAACAAGTTCACTACAAATGTCTACCGGAAGGTCTGGAGGTATATCGAAAAGTCTGGAGGGGGGGCAAAAAATAGCCCCCCCCCCCCCACCAGGTCGCGGGTTAATGCGCCGGAACGGCGCCGCGTAGCGACGTGAAATTTGGCATGCCGAATCGGTGGGTTGATGTGACCTCTGTATTAAAATTTGGGACGGATTGGCCCAGGGTATGTAGAGGTCTATGTTTTAAAATAATGATTTGACCACAATTGGAAAAACCATATACAAAATACTAAAAATATGACATTTTAAAACCACGGTGCCGATTACATTTTTTGGCACGTCTATTTCAATCTGCCATATTTGCCAATCACTGTTTGACCTTGTATTGTAACTCTGCGATTTAGAGCTGCCAGTGCATCGTGCACCGAGTGAGTGTAGGCCTTGTGTGGTTAAAAACATTTTTATGCCTCATTTTTTTTTCATTTGAATGCTAGGATGCATGGAAAAGATGAAATTTCCTGATTTTATGACCATATATCGACACCTTTTTTAAACCCCACATCTGTTCTCCGGTGAATTTCCGGGAAGCACGAAAGAGCTCTTTTAAGAAGTGTCCAATCGTCCGATCCTGATCAAATTTGTGTGTTCGTAAGCTTGCTCTGGCATTGCTTGATCTGCAAAGACAGACAAACTTGAGAAAAATCGAGTGACTGTACCTTTTTTGAAGATTTCTTAACAACTTGTCTGAACTTCACGGGAGAGCAAATGTGGGGTTTAAAAAAAAGGTGTCGATATGGTCATCGCCCCGCCCACTCCAGCCGTTGATTGGCTGACCAAATTTTAGTTCGGCGCCTCGTAGTTTCTCCAACTGAAATGTATTCAATGTGATGCAATGACAAAGTAACTTCAGTTTTGACAGCATTCTGTCTGTAGCAGGGTCCCCGTCCACCAAGCACACTGTAGCTTCAGAAGGACACCTCACTCACTCCTCAATTAGCTCTCATTGAGCGCTCACTAGGTCCACGCCAGTCAGTCTCCATCCAAACCTCACTGAGCCCTCGCCTGGCTGACTCCACTGAGTCCAAGAGTTCTCACTGAGTTTTCACTAAGTCCTCACAGAGTCCACTGACCCCTCACTGAGTCCAGGAGTCCTCATCCATTACCCGACTCCTCACCGAGTCCTCACCTCAATCACTACGTCTGAGACACGGTGACGACGTGCTCAGTGCCGTTAGCCACTATGTACATGACTGTGGGCGGTGCTGCGGTGCTCTCCTCTGCGGTGGCGGTGGCGGTGGCCGTGGCGGTGGCGGTGGCGGTGGCGGGTTCAGCCGGGTGGCAGCCGCCCCTGTGGCTCTCCCAGTCCTTCTGGCAGCAGAACGTGGAACAGTAGGTGGCGCTGTGGCACGCGCCACACTCCAGTTCCGGCGGACGGTTACAGTTGGAGCACTGTAGAAGGACAGAGCGGACAGTCAGAGGGACAATCAAGCGCACAGTTCAACACCAGCGGTTATCATCGCAACACTGCGGATAGGTGGAAAGGGGACTGTCAGGTGGTGTGTGTGTGTGGGGGGGGGGGAGGGTTAGCGGTAAGACAACGCGTGAAAGGGATTAGCATCTGATGTAGTGGAGAGGGATAGAACATTGGGGAGATCGAAGGTTCGTAACTGCCGAGCAGGGAGAAGGTAGAGCCATGGAGGAAAAACAGCCGCTTAGAAGGGAAAAAGGCACAGACAGACTAGCCTTGACACAAAAAGCAGTGAAACGACGCAACTGTTGCGTGACAACAGACTGACAGGAGTCAAAGAACAGAAACTTTAAATGGGAAAAATACAGTTGAATGATCAAACTCCAGTTGAAGAGGCTGGCATGCCCCCCGTATCGCCTTAGTATCGCGCCAAACCGATACGACGGCAGTCGTGTTCTCACCATGGTGTGTTCGTTGGCCAGCTGGACGCAGCAAGGGGTGGGTGCTGAGCTCCTCTCCTCGCCTGCAGCTCCACTGCACGACACACATAGACCCGGTCAGACACACAGAGAGATACGACAATGACTAGCGAACCACGTTCGGTAACAGAGAAACCACAGCACAGCGAGCCGCTGCTGCCCTGATAACTGATATGGTGATAATATACATTGTCCCAAAATATGGCATTTATAGTTATATTTATAATTATCTATGTAATATTTACAGTGAAAATCATCAAAATGTCGGAGTAGCCTAGAGCGAGCAGACGACGACTAACAGGCCGCAGTACACCCAAGCACAACATGTCAGTCTGCCACCTCCCCATCCTCAGCCCGGCCATCTCCGTCGTACCTTCCGTCAGCGTTGGAGGTAGCAGTGGACGCCTGCCGCTCGCGACAGGTCCTGATAATCTGCTTCAGGGTGAGAGCCTGGCGCAGCACCGACCAGGACATCTGTCGACGCAGGGTGAGTGTCAGGAGCCTGCGACACACTTGGTCAACACAGTACGGAGATACGATCAGCAGAATAGCATAAGTGGTAATCATAAGTCGTGAAGAAATAATAAATGGCAAAAGTCGTGGGCGTGTATGTACCGTGTGTATGTATGTACCTAACTCTTCCGCCCAGTCCCACATGCGGTCAGGGGGCAGGGCGCTGATCTAAGTACCGTGTACCCTGTACTCCTGTACCGTGTACCCACCTCCTCCAATTTGTCCCACATGCGGTCAGGGGGCAGGGAGCTGATCTGAGTACCGTGTACCGTTGTACCCCTGTACCGTGTGCCTACCTCTTCCAGTCTGTCCCACATGCGGTCAGGGGGCAGGGCGCTGCGGCTGATCTGAGTTATGAGTACCGTGTGCCTACCTCTTCCAGTCTCTCCCACATGCGGTCAGGAGGCAGGGCGCTGATCTCTTCCGCTAGCTCCGTCTCATCAGGGCCCGAGTCAGGCAGGTCCAGTCCACCAGCGGCGTCTGAGACGGAGACGCATGTCGGAGAGTGGTTATGTTTAACAGCGTTTTGGTTATAGCATGATACAAACGTCATCTGCCAACTACTTGATTGAGCTAGAATTCATGACGATGGTGAAAGAAACGCAACGGTTTAGCCAGCGAAATAACAAAAACAAAGCATAACAAACAGCAAATCGTGCACGGGAGCAGGTATTATCGCATAGCGGGAATCAATCAGCCCTAATGGTCATGCCTTCCCAAACTCTCTTCCTTTCCATACCAACCAAAAGAAAGAGAGCATTGAAACAGCGGGCCTTCAATCAAAGACTATGACTAGCGGGACGGCAGATGTTCTGACGACTCACCGGAGGTCGGCTCTGCTGGGGGCGGTGACGAGGAGCCGAGTGCCGCGCGGAACTTTCTCTTCCGATAGGGGGTGAACAGCCGCACCGGAGCCGACTGGGGCACAGAGCAGACATGATCAGATCTCCGGGGGCATTTATTGACCTCCGGATATCTAAAGCTCTCTGAGCTCTCTGGGGCATTTAAAGAGACACGGCTTCAACTAGACCTGGAGATAAGAGTTATGTGACAAGACTTACATTTGTACATACAAGACGCTATTTTGCATTATTTGTTTACTACGCAGTACGCATGATGAAAATAAGCCCTTGGGCATTCATCTAAAAACGATTAAAAATATGTCGATGAGCATGAACTACGAAGAGCTGGTATAAATGAAAGTAATAACATTTTTTTTTGCATGAGTTTTGTTTTCACTTGACAATTAAGTCATTATCTAGCATAAGTTTACCGATCAGTTTGCAAACAACTTGTAGTATATGTAGAGCTATGCCCGGAGACGTATTTACCACGGCCGGGTCGTCGGAACAGATGGCACACGCGCAGCTGGCGGCGTGTGGCAGCAGCAGACCGGCGTCAATCACGGACTGCAGGCTCCTACCTTCGAACCTGTCAGAAAACAGCAGAGCGCCTGAGATAAAAGAGTCGCACAGGGCCTTAGAACGACGACGGGATGCGAGGTATTACTCACGGATACAATACGACTCACGGTCAAAATGATGACAAGACTATCAGACAGTAATGCCTGGATCGCGAGGATTTAGCATTGCGAGGCTTATTAGCCATGAATTGACCACTGACTAATGGCGTTTGTACAGCGGCTAATGCATGCTGAGGGAGGGGGGGATGGGGCCGATTGGGCACGGGCACCAAGAAGCTGGAACCTTGCGGTACTATTATAATAACGACATGCATGCCATTTCATTTCAACAGTACCTACATTTCAGTTAACCACATTTGATGATTACACGGCATCATCATGATTACACGGCATTATGATATTTTAGCGTCATTTTTAACTTGGTGATTTAAGACCAAAAATTGTTTTGCAATGCTGGCCCTGAATGTTTTTTTCCTCTCAAACTGTGATCCAAATTTCATCTTCCAAACACTAAACTGGATACACCTCGAGGAAACACTTCACTCTATTGAATATACGCAATTATGATAGACCCTTGGCCTACCGTGCACGCGCTGGATAACTTGTTTTCTGACCAAGACAAAACGAGTATTTCCTTTCTTTCCTTTTCTACTATATATGGCCTTGCCTTTTCTCGCTTTTCCCTTCACGAGTTCCGTGCATGTGCATAAGTGTCTTTCCCACAGTCCAAGCTCGTTGGCGCTTATCTCCCACCCTACTGCACCTTATAAGTGTTTCCCACGCTAAATGCTCCATAAATGTATCATTAAGTAATCTTTAAAAATACGTTGTCACTAAGTTCATTACGTCACTGTCCTAGCGTTAAGTTGTCTGGCCATCAAAGTGCAAACACAACCTTACATAAAAATGAAGAGCATGTGTAAGCGAATTAATATTTGTAGGTATGATTATCTTTGCATTACTATCTTCGCCCTGGTGAACATTGGCCACTCTGCGGAGGATCCAAACATCACAGTTTCAACAAATGGATCATCACTTCTACAAACCACTGAAGAGCCTGAACATTCGCACTCACTTCTCGAAGAAGAAATGCATGCTTTGAAATGTGCCCAAAGTTCTCTCGTTGGTCCAGACTACAATAAAATATTCCAGCCACTGCCAACTGATAGTATAGAGGCTTCTTCGCCTGACAAGCACGCAGAGCCTATCATTATTCGGATAATCGTGGACATACTTCGGGTCATGGATGTCAACGAACATGAAGAAGTCATCGTGCTATTACTAACTCTGAAGCAGTTTTGGACAGACACCAGACTAAAACCACCGCCCGAGTTCACTGACGATTGTCCCAACTTGAACAAGCTAAGCAACGGTCCAGTGCGCTATCTACCGGAAGAGGCTACCAAGGCAATCTGGTTTCCTGACGTATATTTGAATCGAGTAGAAGAACTGCACATTTCAAAGGTACTGGTAAACTCTGACGCTCTTCGCATCGATCAGTTCGGTAACGTCAGCTACACGATGTTCGGGAAATTCAAGCTATCTTGCGAGATGAACTTCAGAAACTTCCCATTGGACGTTCAATATTGTCCCATGTATGTGGAGAGTTGGCGTATCCGAACCACCGAACAGGACCTAATATGGGATCCAGACAACCCAATCGGCCTGCTGAGTGATTACAAAATCGACCAGTTTTCACTGCACGTCGTCGTCCTTAAGATCAACAAGGTCAAGTATGACACAGGATCCTTTGCCCGCATCGGCTTCATGCTGGTATTCAGCCGCAAGCTGCCGTTCTACCTGCTGCAGATCTACTTCCCCACGGTGCTGTTCGTCATCATCTCGTGGCTGACGTTTTTCATCCCTCCCCCGTACGCCCAGGGTCGGATCATCCTTACCATCACCACGCTGCTGGCACTCACCGCGCTGAACTCAATCATCAGCAAACACTCGCCGTCCGCCTCGTACCTGCGCGGCATCGACGTCTGGATGCAGGGCTGCTTCCTGTTTGTGTTTGTGGCCATTGTCGACTGCCTGGTGGACATCCGGCTGCTGTTTGTCGTTTCACAGTCGTACAAACAGGAGAACCCCAGCTTCCTGTTGCCCGTGTCGGTGGCGCTCGTCGAGAACCGAGAGGTGTTCGATGACCTGTTCGGCGCCGAGGGAGACACCGACGCCGACGACGGGCCCGACGCCACGCCCTCCGTCTACTGCGACGCGCCCGAGCCGGGCCCGTCGATGGCCGATGTACCGGTGCAGGGTGACCTGGTCAGCAAGCGCGTGTCGTTCGCCGAGCCGTCGGCTCCTGCCACGCGCGCCCTGGTGAGCCCGCAGCAGCTGCGCGCCGCCGAGTCCGGCCCGCTGCAGGTACCGCCCGCGCCCGGCGGCGACGTCTCCGAGAGACTCGAGCAGCGAGCCATCAAGTTCGAGAAGGTGTCCATCGTCGTGTACCCCATCATGTTCGTGTTGTTTAATATGTGTTACTGGAGCTACTATCTGAACGCGTCGAAGCCACCGACCGGCGTGACCCACGAGATTACGGGCGGGTTCATACCGGAGCCAAAGGTGATGCACGACTTCAGCTCGACATGATTGGTGATATGAGACACTCGGGTCTGAGCAGCACGCCGCCACGCCGTGCTAACACAGCGCACTGTACCAAATGCGGCTCAATTTACCATATACTAACGGCCTTTCAGGCGGTAAGATAGGTCTAGAAATACAGAATGGACATCCTTCCCTTAGGAATGTTTTATCCCTACGATGATTAGTCTTCCCTGATTGTGTTTGAACCCATCATTGTCGTGGTATGTAAGACGTTCGTCACTATGTTCCGCCATGTTTGTATTTATGAAATATATTTCACTCGAAAGCCTTCCATCACCTGTGCCTCGATGGAAGAGAATCATTAAATGGCACCAACTTCCCGCATTCAACAAAGCACCCGTGGCCCCAACTTATATCACTAAGGTTATGCTAGGTCATGAAGGGCCACCGGCAGATTTCTGACAACTTTTGATAGACACGTCGTAGCGACGGTTTCGCCCTCTGAAAGCCAAACCGTACATGTCAAATACAACATTTCATTCACGAAAGACCTAAAAAGAGCTATCGATGGTTATCCGCTGTGTTCCACCTCTATAAGCTCACGCTCTATGAACGCAACGTAAAATGTAAGAACAACGTACCCCCCCCCCCCCTCGATTTGTTACGATCGGGCCGATCATCGGGCCATTATCCTAACGCGGGTTCAGCTGAGGAAACATCGAGCTAAATCAGCTCTCCCCCTAAGCTCTTCCACGCAGCCTGATATTTCCCAGATCTTGCAGCTCTATACAGTTAACTATTGACTATACAGTTGACTATTGTAGTACCTTCGCACAATACTAAACCCTAAAGAATACTTTAAGCCCGAAACAGACTCTTTCCTCAGTCAGGAAATCGCATGCGAGAGCCTAATCCATAGATGACAGTTCTACTGTTATCTATGCCTAATCAAATGCATGGAAGCACGCTCGCATCAATCGCACGCACCTCCCGTATGCGATTGATGCGGGCAGAATTAAAATGTATTTGAATAGGCTCTCGCATGCGATTTCCTAAATGCGGGGGAAGAGTCTGTTTCAGCTTTTGAATGTTTGGTCGGACTAGTCATTGGGGTACCCAAAAGTAGCGACCAATGAGCCCCATCGTACCTTCCGCTGCCACGAGTCCACCCCGGGGCAAATTTAGCAACTATCTATCTAAGCTGGTGATTGTTTTCATTCAGGCTCTGCCTCAGCATGGTTTCCCCAGCCCAGGTACACAAATATCCACAGCAAATATCCACCCCGAAACGCACCGTATGCTGCGCCGCCAGTCCTTGCTCTGCGCCCGCCCGCTGAGCGCCTCGAACTCGGTGGGCGTGAGCCACTCGCCATGGCGCTGAATGCAGCGTCCGCGGCCCCCCGAGCCGAGCCGGGACTTGTGCAGCTGACCGGTCACAGTCTGAACGGAGGACAGAGGTTACACATAGCTAAACAACACAGAAAGAGAACAGTCGAGCATGGAGATCAGGACACACAACTTATCAGTGAGTTTCTATAAAAAAAGATCTTTTAAAATGTGAAATACAGCTCAGTTTAATACAGTGGAAGGAAATGGTGGAATTGGACAATGACAATGAAACTTCTGAGGGATGCCCAGCAATCAACATTTAGAAAGCAGTACATAATATAATCATCACCTTGCTCATGAAAACCAAAACATTGCTGCATTGGACATGACCTTCACTATGACCTGACCTTACACTTGACACAAAGAAAGGGAAATAGTATAATCGCATGGTTTTCTAACTCTTCTTTAAGGGCTACCACTTCAACACAAAACAGGTCAGTCACAAATAAGCCATTTGAGGTCATGTTAAGACTTTGTTTGTTTGTTTGTTTGTTTGTTTGTTTGTTTGTTTGTTTGTTTGTTTGTTGGGGGTTAGGAGCGCGCCGACTTTTAGAAAGCTCTTATGAAGCAGACTGTCAATCATGAGATATATTCAAGCATATGTTCAAGCAACAGGTACCAAAAACTCTAAGGTTTTGAAGTGAATGGCAACTACCATCCAGTGCTGAACTTTCTATATGTTAAGTTGATTGGAAAGTCAGAATAAAGTACAAATTCATATTAATAGTTTTTTATAATTCTGAATGGAGAAATTCATATTGATAATTTTTCACAATTCTGAATGGAGAAGCCTTCTCGATAAACTTGCCCATTTCTTCCAGGGGCTCCGCCGCGTGGGATTGGGGGGGGGGGGTCCCACCCAAAACCTCACTGGCGGATCCAGGGTGGCATTCAGGGCGAGTCCACCCCCCCCCCCCGCAGCGCCCGAAATAGATGAAAAATTGTGCCATTTTTCTAGAGTGCAAAGAAACAACAATTTTTATTGGCAGAAGCATGCTTTAAACTGTAAATCCAGGCAAGTTCAAATTGCATAAGGAATCAAAAAACGAGGAGCGGAGCCCATTGACACCGACATGGCGGCCTCTCAAGTCAACGTTCTTGAGGAATGGAGGCTGCCGCTGCGCGCTCCAAGGGCGGTGTTTACCATCAGATAACGCATTGGGCTCCCAGTGACTGGCATAGGCTTGGGAATTCCTACGTAGGCCCTCATATATCTATGTAGACTCTAGATAGCGCACTCTAGAAAGCGCAGGACTTTAGCAGTTGTTGGAGGGATTTGAAGAAGCCCTGTCCTCATATAGCACTCTGCACTAGGCAGTGGGTCCTTAGAGACTAGAGACAAAGGTCAGGTCATGAAGATCCTGTTGGGGTTGTAACTTGTGGATGTTCACTCCTACCTCTATGAACCTGCATTCAAAGCCCTATGCGGATTATTGCAGATTACTTCAGGATGTTGTGAACTGTGAGGCTGCTTAGGCTAGTATGAGGCGCTGAAAGACCGACTTGGACCCCTCCCCCCCCCCCTGAGACTCTAGGATGACCTCACATGGAAAGAGGATTCTAATATCGACTTGAAGCTCTCTTAAGGTAGGTACCTAGTGTCTGTGTTCTGCAAGCTGACCCCCCCCCCCCCATCCCCCACAACACTAAAGCCAAATTCTAGCATACCTAGCTAATCCTAACGATCTTAAACGCATTCCTAGTAGTGACAACAATGGTGGCATGGGCGTCACCACCACCACTAGGGACACTAGGGACATTGTCCCTAGAAGTTTTGAAATAATCGAAAACTACTAGGGACTGTCCCTACTCCTAGAAGTATTTGGAGCTCCCTTTACTGGGGAGACGCAAAGAACCCGGGACACGATAATGGCGCAACTTGCTCAGCTCTGAGTTTGAACACATGTGTTTTGCCTTGCGTACAGTCGCGACAACATCGCCACGGTAAATAAAAAGGCCCCCGAGCGGTGTGCCTCCCTACGGATGTGACGGTACCCTCCAGGCACGTGTGTGTGGTCGCCGTAAAGCTGGATACGGCAGGCCGGCACTCATCCGAGAAATTGGTCAAGGAGGCCGGCACTCATCCGAGAAATTGGTCGAGTTTGTCTCCCAGTCACCCGAGGAGACACCCGAGCCGATTCTGCAGGTGCCCAGCATGATTGCTGAAACGAACTCGACTGGCTACATCCAGGCATCTTCAAACCTTCAAAGCTGAAGACGAAAAGATATAGCTAGAAAGGCAAAACCTACGCTTAAAACCCGCGAGAGAGACCACTGTACGTGTCAACCACCTCTGACAGCTTCGTTACATGTTACGAAGACATCAAAACTACTTCGTAAATGTTCAAATGGCTGCTAAATTCGAATTCAGCTCCAAAAACTAGCCTAAAAACATGTAAAACTCGAAAAAGTGAACCGAGGTCACCAAAGGTCAATGACCTGACCCGACCTTCAGGTGACCTTGACATCCACCCTAATGCATGGGAGCAACAGCAAATCACATGTTTGAGCGTTTGAAACTACGAAAAGCTTGCAAACGCGCGGCTAATGCGAGTCGACACTAAGCCGAATCGCGATTCCGGCCAAACATGGTCTCGGAAAGTAGGTCACAGGTCAAAGGTCATTCGGGTCAGGGTCATGAAATTTTCAGGGTAGGTGTAAAATTGATCAATGCGAGGGTACTGGAAGTTTCGTCGCTATCGGCCGCTTTTTACGCGAGTTATTCGCGAAAAACCTTGGGGGGGGGGGGGCGTTGCGTCACCCCCCCCCCCCCTGTGCCGGCGAGGGTTAATGTATTATGAAAGTACCAAGGTGTCACATGCATAGGCAGACGGACGTGAGCACGCATTTCATAATCTGAAGATATGCCTACAACCGCGTAACTTCTTCGTTTTTTTTTTTCAAATAAATATTAATTATTCTCCCTCGGTTTTAAATTAAAGTGGCCGAAATCCAACGAGGAACGCAGATTTGAGTGTAGGTGGGTATTGGCGACCAGACTCAGGCAAATGCTTGTGTCGTTGCCCTGGAAAAAATGTCCTTAGAGCTTAAAAGTTCTGAAACCGTGGTGACGCCGCTGAATGGTGGAAACACTCCCATGTAGACCGGGGAGAGTACTTCGTGTGTCACGACATTATAAGGGGGCGTTCCACAACAAATCGACAAGTGCCCTGCACCCTGATATTTTATTTTTTGCTTAAAATTGGTCTAATGGGTTGTGATGGGCGGGGAAGCCAGCTGTGGCAAGGATTTTTCTTCGAACAACGGTTTCCGAGATATAGCCTCGGGCAATTCCTGGAGGTCGCGCTGCAGCCCTATGTTTGGCGGCCTATAACTCAAAAACTATTGGTTTTCTACGATAAAAACTTTTTTTTGGTTTAACTCACAATCAACCAACAAACATTTTGGCTATCTCGGATTTTCAATTTTTGAAAATTTTGATCACGTGACCTTTTGACCTATTTTTCGAAGAGTGACCTTGATATTTTCCCCACTGAAAGTTGCAATTTTGTCTGATGACGATTAAAGCCTTATCAATTGTCATTCATATGCGAAAATAAAAAAAGTGGATATCACCCTGCGTTGACCTCAGGTCAGGTCATTTTTATGACCTGTCCATTATTACGAGCGGGAGCGACAGCGAGATCTCGAGAATAAAGCAGGATAGCGACAAGCGGTGAACGGTGCAGGGTACAAACGGATAAGGTCTATAATTTTTACTGAGGTCATTTTCAGGTCAGGTCAAAGATGACGTCACAGGAGCAAAAAGGAAGTCAAAATTGCGGCACTACATATATATGAAGTGTTTCTCGAATAACTTTCAAGGTATCCCAGCTAGGAACAAACTAATAGCACCATCGTGATCCTCTCGTCGATCCGCATCGAAACATATGTATGTTGACCTCGAAAGGTCGAAAGGTCAAAAGTTGACCTTAGGTCACGTGACGAGCGGGAGCGACAGCGAGATCTCGAGAATAAAGCAAGATAGCGACAAGCGGTAAACGGTGCAGGGTACACACGGATAAGGTCTATAATTTTTACTGAGGTCATTTTCAGGTCAGGTCAAAGATGACGTCACAGGAGCAAGAAGGAAGTCAAAATTGCGGCACTACATATATGAAGTTTTTCTCGAATAACTTTCAAGGTATCCCAGCTAGGAACAAACTAATCGCACCATCGTGATCCTCTCGTCGATCCGCATCGAAACCTATGTATGTTGACCTCGAAAGGTCGAAAGGTCAACATACATATGTTTCGATGCGGATCGACGAGAGGATCACGATGGTGATATTAGTTTGTTCCTAGCTGGGATACCTTGAAAGTTATTCGAGAAAAACTTCATATATATGTAGTGCCGCAATTTTGACTTCCTTTTTGCTCCTGTGACGTCATCTCTGACCTGACCTGAAAATGACCTCAGTAAAAATTATAGACCTTATCCGTGTGTACCCTGCACCGTTTACCGCTTGTCGCTATCTTGCTTTATTCTCGAGATTTCGCTGTCGCTCCCGCTCGTAATAATGGACAGGTCATAAAAATGACCTGGCCTGAGGTCAACGCAGAGCGATATCCACTTTTTTATTTTCGCATATGAATGACAATTGATAAGGCTTTAATCGTCATCAGACAAAATTGCAACTTTCAGTGGGGAAAATATCAAGGTCACTCTTCGAAAAATAGGTCAAAAGGCCACGTGATCAAAATTTTCAAAAATTGAAAATCCGAGATAGCCAAAATGTTTGCTGGTTGATTGTGAGTTGAACCATATTAAGTTTTTATCGTAGAAAACCAATAGTTTTTTAGTTATAGGCCGCCAAACATAGGGCTGCAGCGCAACCTCCGGGAATTGCCCGAGGCTATATCTCGGAAACCGTTGTTCGAAGAAAAAAATCCTTGCCACAGCTGGCTTCCCCGCCCATCACAACCCCTTACACCAGTTTTCAACGAAAAATAAAATATGAGGGTGCAATTTTATTTTTTTATTTGTCGATTTGTCGTGGAACGCCCCTAAGGGTTCCCTACATTTCTAGATATTCGATTCCTTAGCTATACGACTATCAACACATTCAAAATGCATGCTGTGAATGATTTAGACATTTTATCATGAAAACAAGCTTATAGGTATCTGGAATATTATGGGTACCGTACTCCCCCCCAAGATTACTTAACCTCCCCCCAGTAAATTATTGGGGGGGGGGGTCAGAGTCGGACCCCCGTGACCCCCCCCCCCGTGGCATAGCCCCTGATTTCTTCCATAACTTTTGCTTGGATACACCCAAGATACACCTACCTTGCAGCAAACATCCAGAACATCAGCTTCTGCAGCATTCATCCAGCTCTGCCACTCAGACTGCCAGACAGCATCATTGCCAGTGTTTGCAGACAAATCACACTGAAAAGGCCACAAATAGAGTTTCTTAACATGCACAAGAAGTTGAAAATGAAACTTTGGTCTGTAGAAATGTAAATTCACTCTACTCAAACAACTTAGCATGCAACATCTGTGTATAAGCAGGTGCATGAAGGAAAGCAGCCTCTCAATTTGAAAATCACATTCAAAGGCAATGGTTATATAAAGGAAAACCGAATACATGAATGAATAAATCAGTTGGGTATATGTCATCAGTTGTTTTAAGCAATTTGATATCCCTAAACCTGCTCGCTGTCATAAGGCATAACAGCAGAGCAATGCAAATAGTATACAATTTTAGATACATGAAATACCTCGAGAAATGCTTTTTCATGGCATTTGGCATTGCCAGGTCAGCCTGGCAGTCACCAGTCTGCAGAAGTTGGCAGTTACCTGCTGCCTGGACTTGGAGTGACGGATGCGGTCAGAGGTTCTCGGCAAGACAGATTCAGCTTGGGTGGCATCAGACTTAGACTGAGACAGCTGCTGCTGAGTGGTCACCATGATCTTGTTCACAGACTCCTCTTTTATCTCTGCCATTTGTTTCATGACTGTTCTGGTCGTCCCATTCTCCATATAACGCACATCAGCCTCATGGTTGTGTTCTCGAGTGACCTCAAACTCATTCACATAAATTGCGCCCCGTACTTTACCCCGGCCATGACACTTCCTTGTAGAATGTGATGCCAGCGAGCACTTGTAGTAGGTTGAGTCACAGCTCTCCTTGTAGTAATCACGCACATACAAGTATCCAGCATGATGTACCCTCAGCTGGCGGGTTCCTGTCACAAAAGCCATGAGCCCACTCTGACTCTGCGCCGCTGCACCGATTCAAGGACAAATTTATCTTTTACTGTTTCGAGCCAGGAATCGAGCAATAAGAAAACAAAGATAACCTAGGCCAAGAATCTTGAACTAGGCTAACATTTGACATTAAACATCGCTTCATAAGACATATGCCCCGCGTTCGATGTCTTTCGGACGGCAAAGATTCTACGTCGTCCGGCCAATCACGTTCAAGGTCAGCGGGGGCTGGGCTGCGGTTATGGAACATGATTGGCCGAATGACGTAGAATCTTCGTCGCTCGGGAGACATCGAACGCGGGGATGGATTGATTGATTGCCGATTGCGGCGCTTTCGTCGCCCCCACCAAGGTTACAAAAAATACCACACATTGCGCTAAGAGCGAAATTTTTTAAATACATGCAGAAAAAGCAAACAAAGTTTTACTGTCACGTCTAAATCACAGTCAAGTGGACGAACCCGTGCTCCGAGACCGAGTCAACAGAACAACTTTCAATAATTCTTAGTAGTAGGTATTTGACAGATAAATAAAAGGCGCTGCTTGCAATTCTTAGCAACTGGTCTTACTTGGGCCCGAAATAAGGTACATACTACATTCTTACCAAAGTACCTAAGTTGTAACGTCTAAAGGAGAGCAATAAATTGAGCATGACGTTCAAGCCTTCATAGTAGAGTATATAGAAAACTATAGGTACCCTTGCATTATATTGATACATACATATAAAACTCAGAGTACCTACCTACTTTCAGACAGAAAGGAGCCATGCAAAGGGAGGGAGGGCGTTAATCGTTATTACATCTTTATGTTCGCCGAAGACCGTGCGACGAAATTCTGTATACGAGCATACCTTTAGGTAGCGATAGTGCGCCAAAAGGAGATGCGTGCTCTGGACTCTGCACGAAGGGTGAGTTGTGGCGGTGTGTGCCGTGTGGACCATGTTTGATATGAAACCGATGAACACCCCCATGCGACCTTTCCATGTCTGCGTACGTTACGCAAATATGGACCTCCACACTGACGAATTTCCCTTCTTACTCACCATCAAAGTTGCATATTGCACAAGAGTTAAAGTACCTGCCTAGGTACGTACGTTCAGTCGTTCAGTCACGAAGACAATATTTCAGCTCATTTTATACCACTAATATCTATGATATCTCAGGTCAGCGTATAGGTGCATACATGAACCCCTGCTTTAAAATATAAATGTGAATCGCGCACTCATCAGTCCATCATAGAAATTATGGACAAACAATCTCTCACATGACCGCTGTTATATTGGCTGAAGCATTCAAAGAAGGCAAATCGTGGACACTTGAACAAACGCCAAGCGCACAAGTCCCCAACACAAAATACACTGGATTGCTTAGTATTTAGTCAGACAGCATAAACGATACGAGCAGGCGCCGCGTCCACACAGTGGCTACCAAGCGGTGATGACGTCACCGCACGAGCGCGAACGCACACTCACACACAATATGATGACGTCACAGTGTCACGGGTGCGCAGGACACTAGCACAGCACCACTGTCCACTCGGAGCACCGGCGTCCAATCACCGGCCGCCGCCGGCGTGACGTCACCGGCGAGCCGCCAATCACCGCCGCCGCACGCGTGACGTCATAGGGCCGACGTCCAATCGCGCGCCGCCCGAGCGACGCTATCACAATGAACAGATCTGCAGTTGCAAGAGCAGCTATGAGAAAATGACTTGTCAGTTTGTACGAAGAGGTACACGCGAGTATGAGTTTCTGAGATCGGTGACGGCAGGCTGCGACCCTCCGTTGTCCACAGACGACCGAGCGGGGCAGGCCGCGGCGGATGGCAGACCAGAGTCCGGCTGAAACGCGACCACAAACAGCTACAGATTAACAGGACAGACAGGCATACAGAGTACAGATACAGGCAGTGGACCAGACAAACTGATGATGCATCATTCAGGCTTGCCGACATCAACACACGAATGTCCTAAGCGCGACATAATAGGCAACAGAACAGGACCCCCACATTTAAGGCTGAAACAGACTCCGCAGTCAGGAAACTATATGTGAGAGCCTATTCAAATACATGAAATCTGCTCGCATCAATCGCACGCGAAAGGTGCGATTGCGACCACTGATGCGAGCGTGATATAATGTATTTGAAAAGGCTCTCGCGTGTGATTTCCTTACTGCGGAAGGAGTCTGTTTCAGCTTTTATAGACAGCAGAACGTTTACTGCCTCCCACACGACCCTATCGGCCAATGCCAACATACGGGCGTCATGAGTGCATCCTGCCGCGTTGCAAAGGGGGAGACAGCATTTACTGAGAGTCAGACGCGGCGTTACTAGCGGTATTACTCGGGGCAGTGCAAGATCATCGAGTAACTGACCGCCTGTGATCCACAATCAGGGTACATTTGCAACTCAACTTATTTTGTCTCGTCGAACAGCTCGATTTGGCGAAAGAATCGCAATTTTCATGAACATATATATTTCTGATATTGCGGCAGAGTTACCAGTAAAGTAAAAGGCAACAACACAATATGTCATGCATGCACTTGTCATGTAAATGTAAACACTGATTGATGAACAATGTAACTGAACACTTAAAATTGATTCAAAGTGTACTCATTGACCACAAAAAATGTGAAAATCCCCGAGACAATCCGATTGTGATTGTGACCCACTCGCGATAAATATTTGCAATATCGTGCCATATTACAGCAGTGTTGTGACAGCAAAACCATGACTCGTCAATACACCACAGCATCACTTTTACTGACACAATGACACCTTACCGGCTACCGCAGACTTCCATTGCTCTGCCAGCCGAAAAGCGGCGTCGCAACCCACGCACACCTGAGCTCCTCCCTCCTTCCTCCCTGATTGACCTTCCCATGGACCCAATTCCACCCCTCCCCTCCTCACCCCCGCCCGTACCTGACTACTGCTGGTGCGCGTGTGTGGCGTTGAACTCGGACGCCCAGCTGCGCTCGAACGGATCTTGCTTGAACGGGTCGCTCTGAATGCCCTCCGGCGACTGGAAAAACTCGTCGTCGGCGAACGGATCGACGGCGGGCGCCGGGAAGGGCGCGGCCGCCGGCGCCGGCACCTCAGACGTCGTCGCCCACGGGTCGGTCGAGGTGAACGGATCGTCGACGACAGCCGGCGAGCGGCGTCGCTCTTCGAACGACACCTCGTCGGCCAGACTGCCGCGCTCCTCGGTCGCCGTCACAAAGTCGTCGTCGAACTGGCTGTGCTGAGTGTGGAGCGGCGCCGACCGGCGGACCGCCGGCGGGGGCTCGAACCGGTCGCCGTCGCCGCTCAGCCGGCCCCAGGCGGCCGCGTTGAACACGCCGGGGTCCGGGTCGGGCCGCGCTGGCTGCTCCCAGCTGGTCTCTGAGCCCTGTCCGGACTGGACCGACTGGGTCGACTGGACGGACTCGGCGCGCGGCCGCGGCCAGCCCGCAGAGGAGCCAACCGAGCGACCGCTGCCGCCACCGGGCCGCGGCCGCTCCCAGGCCGAGGCCGGAGCCGGTGCCTCCTCCTGAGGCCACTCGGCACTAGAGCTGCTCGCCGCCGTGGCGCCGAATTCACAGTCAAACCGCGCGAAATCGGCAGCGGCCGGCTCGCCCGACGCGCCGAAATCGTCGTCAAAGGTGTGTTTGTGAGTGCTGAGCGCGGGAGACGGTCCGGCGCTCCACGGGTCCGCGCCGAGCGTGTCCGGCTCTGCCTCACTATCGTCCGAGGCGGGCGCGCTGCCGGCACTGGCCAGGTGCCTCTCACCAGTCAGTTCTGCCTCCAGCTCTCGGAACACCGCGTACTTGTCCTCGGGCTCGGGCGGTGGCGCGGCCGGCGGTGCCGGAGCCGGCGCCGGGGAGGTATGTCCCGCAGCGACCGACGGCTCGGGAAACTCACAGTGGAAGTCATCCGGCGAGTTGGGCGTGTCCACCGGACTGCGCGGGAACTTGGCGTCGAACCGCGCGAACACGTCCTCATCAACCGTCTCGAGCAGCGGCGGCACCGGAGACGGCGTGGCTGCGGGAGACACGGCAGAGAGCGCATCCACCGGCCGCAGCGGCGCCGCCGGCGAGCGGACGGCCGCGCCGCGCTCCAGGTCCCGCCGGTGCAGCTGCGGGCTCTTGTAGATGGACACCTCCGGGCTGGAGATGGGAGAGAGCGACTTGAACTCCTCGCTGGGCGACTCCTCCTGCGACTCTTCCTCCGCCGGCGGCGGCGGTGGGGGCTCGGCGGGTGGCGCTGCCGTCTCCAGAGTGGGCGCGGTGCCAGTGGCAGCCATATGCGCCGCCAGTTCCATCACAGACATCTGACCCAGCCGCTTCACGGAGATGTGCAGCTTGGCCGCCAGATCCACCAGACTCGTGCTCTGTAGCTGCTGCGGCAGGGTGTCGGTGGCGGCCGGCGGCTCGTCGGCGGCCGGACCGGGAGCGGGCGCCGGCGCCCCCGACCGGCCCCGGTCCTTGGTGTGGCGGTTGACGGGAGGCGGAGCCGGGTGCGGCGCCTCGCCAGTCTCGCCGACCAGCGGCGGCAGGGAGCTGAACCCGAGGCTGGCCGTCTCGCGTGCTGCCTTCCTGTGCACGGCGGCGCCGCCCAGGCTGCTGGCGCGCGTCAGGTCCGGGTGCTCCCGGGACACGCGGGGGCGGCGCGCCGGCACCGGCAGCGGCGGCGAGCCGGCCGCGCCCGCGTCCTGGGGCGCCGGTGGCGGCACCGAGCCGGGCGGCGCCACGTCCCAGCGAGCCTCTGTGTGCGGCGGCCGCGGCGGCGGCTTCATCACCACGTGCTGCGGCGCCTTCTTGGGCGGCAGCGGCGGCGGCTGGACGAGCGCCGGCCGCGGCGGCGGCTCGGGCGCCGGCTCGGCCGGCTCCGGCTCAGAGAGGGTCGTGTCCGATCCGTTGCTGGTCTGTTTGAGGTATCCGCGGCGCAGCAGCGCCGGGCTGCTGCTGCCGCTGCGGCTGGCCGCCGTGCGCGGCCGGCCCGGCGGCGGCGGCAGCGGCACCGGCGGCGGCGAGAACGCCGGCGGACTGTCGGCACGCACCGGCTCCGGCTCGCCGCCGGCCGCCGCCGCCGCCTCCGTCCGCAGAGAGTCAAAGTCAAACACCGAGAAATCCGTGCTGAAAGTCACTGCCGACGCGGCCGGCGGCTGCGCGGCCGCTGCCGCCACTGGCGCCGCCGGTATCGCACTCGAATGATCACCACTTTCCGCGAAGCTCGACTCGAATCCCTGGCTATTGCCGTTCACTGCCGTGGCAAAGTCATCACCGAACGAGTTCTCGGCTTTCCG